ATTACTTGTATGCTAACCTATTTTGAAACTAATCCTACACTATTTTTCATAGAAGTAATAATTTTAAAAATTAGGTTTACAAGTTTTTACCCCATCAAGAAGAATGCATCTGTGAAGTTCCTGTAGACCTTTCTCACTTATATGACTAAGGCATAAATGTCATATAGTAGTGTCATTAGTACCCAGATCCAAAGGAGTGGTCAAAGCTACTCCACCTGTAACTATGCTCCTTGCAAGTGTATTTAAATTTCCTTGTTGTTTCCCTTTTATGACAACCATGACCCCTTTTTATAGATTTTAGGACCCACCCGTTGTCATAAAGAAAAAACCATTAGAATCGAGTGTACCCAAGGAAATTAAAATCTTTTTAAGATCAGGGACATGCTACACATCACCTAGTGTTCTTACCATATCATCAACCATTTTGATTTTAATGGTCCCAATTCCAATGGTCTTGGAAACTGAATCATTCCCCATTAGAATTGTTCCTCCATTATAGGGTCTATAAGTATCAAACTATTCCCTATAAGGACAGATGGGATAAGACTATCATGAATCCAAAGTTCATGTGTCAGCAAGATAATTCATACCTGTGGTGACCTATAATAAATCTTCGTTTCTGTTCGAGCTATCTTGTACGTGCAATGCCTGTTTGATCCGAATTAGGAGAATTTTCTTTTTCCTCTATATCTCGCTTTCGTTGATTACAATCCCTTCTCAAGTGCCCTTTCTTGTGGCAATAGTAGCACTTTTATTTTCCGCTGCATCTCCCTCTTGATTTGGAGTGAGACCTCCCTCTATTTCTAGGGTCCTTTTGGTTGATCATTATGCATTGTTGACTCAATTCACTTTTGGCTACCAACCCTTCTGCTTAAGAACTATTTCCCGGTTTCTTGAATGCCCAGTCTCCAAAAAAAATACTTGTCACCACATCAACATTGAGAGTATTTTTTTCCAACCAAAAGTGTAGTCACAAGTGCATTATAAGAGTGTGGTAGAGAAGCCAAGAGAACAATAGTCTTATACTCTTCTCCTACTATCACCTCAACATTAATTAGCTCAGTAATAATTTTATTGAAAACATTGAGATGATCAAATAAATTTGTTCCTTATTCCATTCTAATTGATATAATCAATTTTGGGAAGAATGCTTTCATGAAAAATTAGGTCTTGTCACCATGAAAGCCCAGGTTTAGCAAAATGAGTCGTCCTTCATAAATGAGAAGGCATTTGATGGTACTATGGATCCCGTGGACCATCTCAACTCATACAAAAATCGGATAAAACTCCACAGGTATCAAGACCTTATTCGTTGTCAAGCCTTCGCCATCACACTAAAGGGCTTAGCTCTTGCCTTGTTCAATAGATTGGCGCCAGCTTCAATTTCATCCTTTAGAGAGTTCTAGGTGCAATTCATCTCTTATTTCATTGAGGTGAGGACGTACATGAAACCCACTTACCACTTGTTGACTGTTAAGCCAAAGCCTGGTGAGTCCTTGAGAAGCTATGTGAAGAGATTCAATCAAGAGTCTCTTAGGGTGGACTGGCTGGATGAAAAGGTCGCCTTGATAACCTTCACGGTTTGTCTAGGTCTTTAATCTAAGAAAACCTTCTCGTTACCATGGCTAAGGTGCTGGTGAAGAATAAGAAGTATATTAATGGGGATGAGGCTCTCCTTTCAAAGGGTGGCTCATCAACCACCCCCTGAGTAGAATAAAAAAAAAGGAGTCTAGCCCTAAACAAAGTCGAGAGTGAGTCCGTTCAACCTAGAGAAAAATAGATTGATCTCCCAAGAAGTAGGGAGATGTAAGAGATCATTTGGGACCCCCAAACCAAATCTACAACCTCGATATGCACTTGAGCGATTCACTCCACTCAACACCTCGGTGGTTCTGGTGTTACATCAGGTTTAGAACTAGAGGTATGTCAAATGGCTATCCAAGATAAAGTTTGATCCTTGTAAGATAGATCATACCAAGTACTATAACTTCCACCAAGATCATGGACATGATAATGACGACTGCATCTAGCTTAAGAAGGAAATTAAGTTTCTAATATAGAGGGGGCAACTCAGGTGCTTTGTTGCCTGAGAAAATCCTGGTTGCCTTCATAGCTAAATTCACCTCAACCCTCAAGCCTGAAATGAACCAAGAGAGGTAAGGTTTCGTACCTAACCTTTCAGTGAAGTTCTTTGTTCATGGTGCCTCTAATGCACAAGGAAGCGGAGCAAACCTCACCCTGACCTTGCCAGAAGGGATCAACCTGGAGTACTCTCTCAGTTTGATTTCAAAGCCTCTAACAATGGATTTGAGTATAAGGCTTTGATAGTTGGACTTATGCTGGTGTTCTACATGGAAACACACCAACTCCTAATCCACAATGACTCTCAGCTCTTGGTAAGACAAATTTAGTCAGAATACGAGGCAAGAGAGGACAAGATGTCTTTATATTTGAAAGTGGTACAAGATCTTTTGAGAAAGTTTATCCATACAAAAGTCATCCAAGTACCCTGAGCTAAACGCTTGAGTTGATGCCTTAGCCAAATTATCGATAGAGTCATTCCTATAGAACACCTAAAGGAACCAAGTATCCACCTTGACCAAGATAAGGAGGGGATCCTACCAGTGGACATTACATCGTGCTAGATGGACCCCTTCATCCACTTTACAGGATGGAGTTCTTCCCCAAAATCCAAAAGAAGCAGCCTAGTTACGAAGTAGATTGTCAAGGTTTACAATGATCCAGGGGAAGCTCTATAAAAGAGGATTCTCTACACCCCTCCTAAAGTGTGTGGCAATTGAGGAAGCCAATTATGTGCTAAGAGAGATTCATGAAGACATTTGTGAAAATCACATCGAAGCTCATACCCTAGCGTACAAGGCATTGAGATAGAGTTACTTTTGACCCACCTTGATGAAAGATTTGAAGGAAAAGGTCAAGAAGTGCAAAACCTACTAGTTGCATTCAAACATCTCTCATTGCCCACCAGAACAACTCACGCCAATATTGAGCTTGTGGCTTTTCAACAATAAAGGATTGACATAGTGGGACCTCTTCCCATTTGAATGGAATAGTGCAAGTTTCTCATAGTAAAGATAGATTACTTCAGAAAATGGGTCACAGTCAAGTAGCTGGCAATTATTACCGAGCATAAAATTAGAAACTTTGTTTGGAAATCTATTGTGTGCAGGTTTGGAATCCCTAGGGCTATTGTATTTGATAACGACAAACAATTTGACAACTCAACCATCACAAACTTCTGCTCAGAGCTTGGCATAAATAATTATTTCTCAGCTCTAGCTCATCCCTAGTCTAATGGTCAAGTAAAGGTCAACATATGAATAGTTTTCAAGACACTGAAGACCAATCTGGAAGCTTCAAAGGGCCAATGGGTCGACCACCTCCCTAGTGTATTTTGGGCATACAGAATGACAACTCGAACAACCAAAACAACTCCCTTCAGAGGTAGTAGCACTAGTAGAGATCAAGTTTCTCTCTCTAAGAGCTAAATTCTTCAATCCTGACCAGAATGGCCGAGCTTTGCTGGTGAACCTCGATCTCTTTGATGAAAAAAGGAATGAGGTGTTGCAAAGGATCTCTGCTTATCAAAAAATAACAACGCATTATTACAATCAAAAGGTTAGGGGAAGAAGCTTCAAGGCAGGGGACCTCGTTTTAAAGAAGCAATTACCTGCCCGAAAAGATCCAAGCCATGGAAAGCTAGGCCCTAACTAGGAAGAACATTACATAGTAAAAATAATTGTCAGACCTAGCATTTATGAGTTGTAGACTGAAGAAGGGATAGACCTAGCACACTCGTGGAACGTAGATCACCTGAAGAAGTTCTACCAATGATAACAATAGGTTGGATACCTTTACTTTTGTACTTTGTGAAACACCTGTTATCATAGGATAGTTGTGAATATTTGAGATAAATAAAATTTAACAAAATCTTGACACAAAAATTCTTGAGTACGCAAAAAATTCCTAAGTGTTGAGTACAAACAAAGCTTCTAAGCTTGTCTACTAAATAGAGTTCTTCAACTCATATGAAAGATAAGCTTTTCAGCTCATAAAACTTTTAAGATTGTGCTAAATATGATATTTTAACTCATACATGAGATAAACTTTTCAGCTCACACAAAGGATGAGTTGTTTAGCTTATAAAGCTTTTAAGCTCGTACTAAATATCAGCTCTTGAGCTCATACTTGAGATAAGCTTTTTAGCTTGTAGATCTTTTCAGCTCATACATGAGTTGAGCTATTCAGCTTATACATGAGATAAGTTGTTCAGCTTATAGAGCTTTTCAGCTTGTACTAAATATGAGCTCTTCAACTCATACATGAGATATGTTTTTCAGCTTAGAGAGCTCTTCAGATCCTATAAAAGATAAGATCTTTAGTTTATATAGCTTTTTAGCTTATACATAAGATAAGTTCTTTAGCTTATAGAGCTCCTCAGATCTCATAAATCAAACTGAGTTTTAAGTCACTAAGTCCAAAGAGCCACCTAGAGCTAGGACTTAGTCACCAAAATTGCAAAGAATCATCACTATTACAAGGCTACTACTACCTTCCAACAAGTGAAGGGGGCAGGGATATACTTATATTCTTGCACACACACACACACAAAAAAAAAGAGGAAAAGAAAGTTCATATTCCATTGCAAGAAAAGAAATAAGTAAAAGAAGTTTAGTATTTTTTTTAAAAAGCAAAGAGTTATAGAACTGCAAAATCCAAAGGAAAGCATAAAAAAGTTATTGATGACGAGGAAGGTCAACCCTTCAATTGACTAGATCTACTCATCCAATCTACTGCTCAGCCCTGCCCAGCATAGTATGAGCAATAGTAGAATGTGGATCATTAGGATCGAACTTAGTGCTAGAGGTCTTCCACTCAGGAACTCCCTTAGCTTGACCCTCTCTAGTTTTCTCAGCATTCTCATCAGAAAGAGGAGGCACAAAGGATTAGAAGTGGAGATCAACAAATTTCTCTTTGGCCTAGTCCCTAAAGTCCTCGCAACCCTTAGCGTAGTTCATAATGCACTTAGATTTCAAGTCTTTGATGATCTGATCCGTTGCTGCCATAGTTGACTCTAATTCAACAAGCTTCAACTTCAGCTCAGCAGCCTCCTTCTCGAGCTTGGCATAATTTATAGCTCTAACTATCTTGTCAAGCTTTGCCTCCCTAAGCTTTAGCTTATCTTTAAGAGCTTTTTTTGTAGATCTGGACTGGTCGATTTGGGAGCCCTATTCATCTTGCTTCTTGTGAGCAGTAGCCAGACCAACCTTGAGCTCTTTTATTGACTTCTGAAACTTTTGAACTTGGCCAAGTAGAGTACTAATGTGAATAGCAGCCCACATAAAATAAACTCTAAGTAAAAAATAAGGGATAAAAAACAAAAGCTCAAAGAAATTTTAAGACGAAGCTAATACCGAGACAAGACCATGAAGAGGCATTTGTAGCCTCATCATTTGCACCAAGTGCTGCAGACTTGAGTATGTTTGCTTGGGGTAGAATGCTCAACATCTTGGTGGTTGCCAGAGCAGTATTGGAGAAAAGGGAACTCTCATCTACAGCTAGAAGGATTGATGCCAACCTTAGAATAGGAGAGGCTACCCCTGAAGTCACTAGAGAAGTGGAAGGAGGCACATCGGGCTCTATAGAAGTTCTTTGAGGAGGATCAGTAGTTGAAAGATTTCCTTCCCAATGAAGTGTGGCCTAAGCACCTAGATTGGAGTAGAGGGAACGTTGGGTGTGTTCACCACCTCAACTCAACGAGCTTTAGCTTTAAGGAGAAAGTCGAGGTACAAAGGCTTGATCAGACGTCCCTACTTCTCTCTCCTTGTAGCGATGACATCCTACATAGCATTTAGCTCAAGTACTAAAGGATCAAGGTATGGAAAGGGGAAACATATCGCGACCAGGAAAAATAAATGAGGAAATAGAAAGCAAAAAAAAAAAAAAAAAACTAGCTGTTGGAACACTGACTAGCAGGATTTCAGTTGTCTTAAAAAAGAAAGACTTTGTCCATGGAAAAGAAGGAGAAGGAGCTAGAGTTAGAAGCTTTTCAATAACTAGAGGGCCAAGGTCATACCTTGCTAGGTTCTCTAAAGCCACGAGCTCCTTGAAACTTTCTCAACCCTTACAACCCTAAGCTTCTCAGAAGGGTGCAGCTCGGGCTGATATCCTGTAAATTCGAGGAAAAAACAATAAGAACAATCAAACCTAAAAAGGAATAGGGTATGTTGGAAGCTCGACACTCACCCAAGTTTTGAGGTTTTCCCCGGAGTTGAGGAACACAGAGAACGTCAGAAGCATCATTTGGGTCTACCTCCTAAGCATCGCCAGATATTTAGAAGAAGTGCTCCTTCCAAGTCTTATGGAAAGAAGGGGCATTTACGACTAAGGCCTTGGCCTTGACACGCTTGGAGATGTAGAATAAGCCATCTACGGATGAGCACTTAAGGTTGAAAAAATGGACAAGCTAGGCCATAAAAGGAGCTTGACCTAATTCGTTTTCCCTCTAGAAGATTATGAGGCCAACCAAGGTTCCCTAAAAATTAGGGGACATCCTTGAGGGACAAATATTAAAGAATCTGAGGACGACTTTGAGGAAAGGATGCATAGTAAACCTAAGTCTTGACTCAAAGGCCGAGACAAAGAAGCAAGTGTTTCTAGTTAGGAAGACATTATAGCATCCAACATTCGAAGGGGCGTAAGCCACAATGCATGGAATTGATGATGATCAACCAAAGACTATAGCCTAAGCTCGGTAATATGGCTCCAGTTCGAAGTCGAAGATGGCCTCTGCAAGTTTCAATCTTGCCCAAGGTCCTGACCTCTTCAGAAGGAGAGGTTTGGGAAGATTTGGAAACCCTTTTCTTGAGGGTCCGTTTCCTCTTACCTCAGCCAGGGATTCCCTTCTCAGGCACATTCTTGAGTAGGAGAGGAGCCTCGTGTCGAGAAGAACTCTCCTCATACAAGAGATGGAAGACCTAGTAGTAGAAAAAGTCCCAAACATATTTAAGGTTAGGGACACGAAGGAGTCTAACCTAGATTAAAACGGATGAGAGATACTTAGAGAGTTATCCTCAATGGCATAAGGGTCTAAGCACCAAAGCTTGAGTAGAAAAACCCTAGCTGCGGCAAAATTGTCTAAGAAGTGGGGAAGGGTTGTCAAAGACCTACCTAAGGCCCTACATTAGCAAAAATAAAGAACTAGAAAGTGAAGACCCCAAGACAAACACCAAGGATCGAAGCGATCCAAGGTTGATGCAAAGAAGTCAAAGGGAAGAAAAACTTTCCTAGAAGATGGTGGTGGCTAGCGGAAGATGAACAACCTAAACACCGATGAGACAAACACTAGACAACAAGAAACCGAAGCCCAAGATCTCCTAAGTCGCTCACAACTTCAATCGATTTCTCTCAAGACTCACTTGAACTCTCTAAGGATCACAAAGAGGATTTGGAGAAGAAAGAAACAGTTGGATTTTTTAAGAAGAAATTTGGTAAAGTAAAAGTTTGAATTTTTGAAGGGTTTAAATAAGGGAAACTTTGGTGTGGCATTAAATGCACCACACGTCGTTCCATGTGGCACAAAATGAGTGGCACTGTTTGAAAAACAAGGTGCCTCCTACGTCCTACACCTACATGACACTGTAATCTTAGGTAAGTTGTCTTGTCGCATACTTTCAACTGACCAAAGCACCATGAGCTCGTCTCGACAAGACACGATGCTTCAAGAGCATTGCAACTCAGTCGTAACCTACATCTAGAAAAGGAAGGTAGACCAAACCACCATGAGCTCGTAACTGATGATACCCAAAATATACCTAGAAATAAGCAGAAGAATATCTTCATATCTCAACTACAACAAGGTTGAATAACAAGATTGACCCCGCATCTCGTTGCATACGTAAACCTCAAGTCTAGGTGGACAACTAGTACAGGATTGACCTCAGACGGGAATGATCAGGTCGTCCATCTCATCTCATGAGGAGTTCAGCTTTTCCAGCACAGGTCATGAGCATAGATCGAGTTCCTTAGTCATGAGCTGACCAAAAGAATAAAAGGTCATCCCAAATAGTACAACCTTTGAGAGATGAAAAAGGATCACAATATATCCAAACTCAGAGAAGGGTCTCAAGGCTGTCTCATCGTGTTCTACAGGGCCACGTCACACCTAGGGTATAAATGGCTAAATATTCTCCTAACAAACTAGGGACCATGTGGTGATAATGTGAGGATCACCTCATATGTGTGGTATAAATACAAGGTCAACCACCCATGTACACAGACGCTAATTGTTATCTTTCTTCCCCCACACAATAGAAAACCTCCCAAGGAGCAAGAGACTCCATTATAATAGATTATTCAAGCTCGTCAGCTTGTGAACCACTACACTTTGTATGTTCTTCTTCGTTCTCTATCTTTTATCTCTATTTTGCATTTACTACAGCAATCTACAGAGCCATCGAGCTCAGTCACGCATTGATCTCTTTGTCATTGTTCATTCACACACCATTGTTCCTAAGCCTTGAGTTCCTTAGTTCAATCACTAATATCACGCTTCTAAGTTCTTACATTATCACCAACAAAACTTGGTTAAGAACAAACGATCAATTTGAGTGAGGTAATTAACTGTAAAATGATGAGAAATCCCAAGGGGTTCTCCATAATGTCAAAAATTACATGGGACAAAGTATAATAAATGCAAATCTCAAGGGCCAATTGTGTAATTATTTATATTTTCCGAACAGAATGACATGAAATTCCATCTAATACATTTTATCTCTATTTTTTTTCATAGTAAATCACATGTCATGAATTAAAGTGAGACTCATTAAATAAAAGTGAGTTAATATAACATGTATAATCTACAAAAAAATTGAAAGAGAAAGTATTAGAAGGGATTTGAGTCCGATTCAAAACCTATGACCTAGATGATATCAATCCATTGTTAACAGTCCAATTCCAAACTTTAGCTTAAAAAAAAATAATTAAAAAAATGGGTCAAATGTAGGGATGATAATTGAATCGAGTATGACGAGCTCGTTTTTTTTAAACGAGTTTAAAAAAGTGTTCATGTTCAACTAATTTTCTCGATTCATTTAAAAAATGAGTCGAGTCTGAATCAAACTTAAAACGAGCAAAACTCGAGTCAAGCTCGAGTATTTACATATAAATGAATTAAGTTTATCGAGCTCATTTTTTTAAATGAGCCTAAAAAATATTCAAGCTCAATACCTAAACCAAAGACATCGAATAACTCGATTATTAATGCTGGTCAAACGCAATACTCTACTTTAGGTGGACTACAAGAGGTGGTTGAGCTCATATCCGAAGAGACCAACTGGTCATGATGTCTTGTTAGTCTAAATTATCAAAGTGCCAATGGATTGGAAATGGATCAAGGCCTTTTCTGTTCCCATCCAACCATAAACTCCGACCATTTATTCGTGGAATTTGGCAAAAATCACCCAAATACGAACTTCTAGGTGTTTGGGCATCGGATTCATTAGTTAATCCGATCCGAATTTATAGCAAATATATTCTATAATTTTATCATTAAGTATATTTTTTAGCGAGGAATAAACATATTTGGATCAAATTCGTATGCAAGGATAAACAATTCCCTATAATATGTAACAAAAAAATTTCATCCAAATCTTTTTGTGTTCTTTTAGGAAATTTTTAAACAGCATTTGTTTTTATATTTTTCCATTTGAATTTTTTCTTGGACTTACTCACTTTTTCTAATTATATATATAATCACATATAAAAAAATATCAAAGGTACGTATATGAAAGATATAATTCATGTACTAAGATACATCTAGATATTGTTCTTATCTGTATCACTTATGCAAAATAGTAATTACCATATTTTTACTTTTTTATAAAATTATCTATTTTTTTAAAGGTGTTACCCAACAACAAGCGACCTCTTTCCAAATTTTACTTGCATGTTAATTTAGTCACCTCTTTTTCATATTCCACAATTTTGTTTTTAACTTGGCAAAATCCTTGTTGACATATGTTTATAATATAATTCGATAAAGAGTCATCTCATTTTCTTACTTATTCGTACTTTTCTAATTCATTTATTTTAAGATGGATTTTGAACGCCATGTATAGGTCCATGTCAAAAATGTGCTAGAACCAAATCAAGCATTGTTTCATATATATATATATAAATCTTGCGTTGTTAGCGCATTTAAAAATGGCTTGAATATGATATTTTGGGAAATTCATTTTGAAAATTATTTATTTTAATTTTGTTGGGTTCCTCGTTGATTAAAGTTATCTGATGAGAGAATTTTTAGGTAGACAGGTTTGGATATAGATTAAAAGGTAATAAAGCTTCTAGCCTCGGTGGGACACAAACTCGAGTATGTCTATCTACATTTTTATCACAAACATGTCATTCAATCTTGCTAGGACTATAATTCAATCTGCCTGATCCTAAATTTTTGTAGTAAATTATGAACATAATTGTATTAATATGACCAAAACAATGATAACATGAAGTTCAAGCAACTCAAGAAAATATTAAAATCATATTGGATCCATATTCCATCCACTACAATTTTTTTCACAATACTAGATCGCTTAAGATGAGGCTATGATACCGATATCCGTCATACCAAAAGAAATATCGATACCATACCCGAAAAAATTTATGGCCACAGATTTTTTGCTGATTTATTTACATTTATTGCTTAAAATTACTAAAATCATGTCAAATAATAAAAAAAAAAAATTCTACATGCGTCTCTTTCTCATTAAATGTTAAAAAAGAGAGATAGTATTGCAAAATTACTTTTCAATATGATAATACGACCGGATCAATTGATTATTGTTTATTACTGGAAGATTCATTTATATATAATATGTCTTATTTAAATTTATAATTTTAATTTGTTCGGTGAATAAAATTAGAAAATAGTGTACAAGAAATCTAAGATTTTGAGAGAGATTTACTATATCCACCTTGGATAATGTAAAGAGAGATTTTTTCCAAAGAATCAGTAGCTCAACAGAATTCGAGTTAGATAACAACAGAAAGATTGGATATGAACCATTTAGAGAAAAATATGATAAATTCCACTATATAAACACATACAGTCCCTTCTATTCAACCACATAAAAAATTCTCCATAATATCATAGAAGCCATGGCCAAGCTCAGTTTTCTTCTCTTTTTCACTCTTTCTCTCTTAGTCCTCTCTGCTTCTGCCAGAAATGTCGCCTCAAAAAAGCTCACAAGCTCTACCTTAGGTCTCGACAATGGCGTCTTCAAGCCCACAAGGAACTACACCCATGTCTGTGATGCTTCAAGGTTTGCAGACCTTGGGCTGGACATGAAGGACTTTGCCTTCTGCGACTCTTCTCTCTCATATGAGATTAGGGTTAAGGACTTNCACATGTCATGAATTAAAGTGAGACTCATTAAATAAAAGTGAGTTAATATAACATGAATAATCTACAAAAAAATTGAAAGAGAAAGTATTAGAAGGGATTTGAGTCCGATTCAAAACCTATGATCTAGATGATATCAATCCATTGTTAACAGTCCAATTCCAAACTTTTAGCTTAAAAAAAATAATTAAAAAAATGGGTCAAATGTAAGGATGATAATTGAATCGAGTATGTCGAGCTTGTTTTTTTTAAACGAGTTTAAAAAAGTATTCATGTTCAACTAATTTTCTCAATTCATTTAGAAAATGAGTCGAGTCTGAATCAAACTTAAAACGAGCAAAACTCGAGTCAAAGCTCGAGTATTTACATATAAATGAATTAAGCTTATCGAGCTCATTTTTTTAAATGAGCCTCAAAAATATTCAAGCTCAATACCTAAACCAAAGACATCAAATAACTCGATTCGATTATTAATACTGGTCAAACGCAATACTCTACTTTAGGTGGACTACAAGAGGTGGTTGAGCTCATATCCGAAGAGACCAACGGGTCATGATGTCTTGTTAGTCTAAATTATCAAAGTGCCAATGGATTGGAAATGGATCAAGGCCTTTTCTGTTCCCATCCAACCATAAACTCCGACCATTTATTCGTGGAATTTGGCAAAAATCACCCAAATACGAACTTCTAGGTGTTTGGGCATCGGATTCATTAGTTAATCCGATCCGAATTTATAGCAAATATATTCTATAATTTTATCATTAAGTATATTTTTTAGCGAGGAATAAACATATTTGGATCAAATTCGTATGCAAGGATAAAAAATTCCCTATAATATGTAACAAAAAAATTTCATCCAAATCTTTTTGTGTTCTTTCAGGAAATTTTTTAACAGCATTTGTTTTTATATTTTTCCATTTGAATTTTTTTCTTGGACTTACTCACTTTTTCTAATTATATATATAATCACATATAAAAAAATATCAAAGGTACGTATATGAAAGATATAATTCATGTACTAAGATACATCTAGATATTGTTCTTATCTGTATCACTTATGCAAAATAGTAATTACCATATTTTTACTTTTTTTATAAAATTATCTATTTTTTTAAAGGTGTTACCCAACAACAAGCGACCTCTTTCCAAATTTTACTTGCATGTTAATTTAGTCACCTCTTTTTCATATTCCACAATTTTGTTTTTAACTTGGCAAAATCCTTGTTGACATATGTTTATAATATAATTCGATAAAGAGTCATCTCATTTTCTTACTTATTCGTACTTTTCTAATTCATTTATTTTAAGATGGATTTTGAACGCCATGTATAGGTCCATGTCAAAAATGTGCTAGAACCAAATCAAGCATTGTTTCATATATATATATATAAATCTTGCGTTGTTAGCGCATTTAAAAATGGCTTGAATATGATATTTTGGGAAATTCATTTTGAAAATTATTTATTTTAATTTTGTTGGGTTCCTCGTTGATTAAAGTTATCTGATGAGAGAATTTTTAGGTAGACAGGTTTGGATATAGATTAAAAGGTAATAAAGCTTCTAGCCTCGGTGGGACACAAACTCGAGTATGTCTATCTACATTTTTATCACAAACATGTCATTCAATCTTGCTAGGACTATAATTCAATCTGCCTGATCCTAAATTTTTGTAGTAAATTATGAACATAATTGTATTAATATGACCAAAACAATGATAACATGAAGTTCAAGCAACTCAAGAAAATATTAAAATCATATTGGATCCATATTCCATCCACTACAATTTTTTTCACAATACTAGATCGCTTAAGATGAGGCTATGATACCGATATCCGTCATACCAAAAGAAATATCGATACCATACCCGAAAAAATTTATGGCCACAGATTTTTTGCTGATTTATTTACATTTATTGCTTAAAATTACTAAAATCATGTCAAATAATAAAAAAAAAAAATTCTACATGCGTCTCTTTCTCATTAAATGTTAAAAAAGAGAGATAGTATTGCAAAATTACTTTTCAATATGATAATACGACCGGATCAATTGATTATTGTTTATTACTGGAAGATTCATTTATATATAATATGTCTTATTTAAATTTATAATTTTAATTTGTTCGGTGAATAAAATTAGAAAATAGTGTACAAGAAATCTAAGATTTTGAGAGAGATTTACTATATCCACCTTGGATAATGTAAAGAGAGATTTTTTCCAAAGAATCAGTAGCTCAACAGAATTCGAGTTAGATAACAACAGAAAGATTGGATATGAACCATTTAGAGAAAAATATGATAAATTCCACTATATAAACACATACAGTCACTTCTATTCAACCACATAAAAAATTCTCCATAATATCATAGAAGCCATGGCCAAGCTCAGTTTTCTTCTCTTTTTCACTCTTTCTCTCTTAGTCCTCTCTGCTTCTGCCAGAAATGTCGCCTCAAAAAAGCTCACAAGCTCTACCTTAGGTCTCGACAATGGCGTCTTCAAGCCCACAAGGAACTACACCCATGTCTGTGATGCTTCAAGGTTTGCAGACCTTGGGCTGGACATGAAGGACTTTGCCTTCTGCGACTCTTCTCTCTCATATGAGATTAGGGTTAAGGACTTGATTGACAGGATGACATTGGCGGAGAAGGTGCAGCAGATTGGGGACACCGCTCTTGGGGTGGCGAGGATTGGACTGCCCAAGTACGAGTGGTGGTCGGAGGCTTTGCACGGCGTGTCGAACGTTGGCCAGCAGGGGAGCGTAGCTAGCTTCTTTGATGATGTTGTTCCTGGAGCAACCAGCTTTCCTACTGTTATTCTCACCACTGCTTCTTTCAATGAATCCATGTGGAAAACCATTGGCCAGGTGAATCTATTCAATGATTGTGATTGATAAGTTAACAAATTAAGATATTATTTTAAGTNGGCTTTGCATGGCGTGTCGAACGTTGGCCAGCAGGGGAGCGTAGCTAGCTTCTTTGATGATGTTGTTCCTGGAGCAACCAGCTTTCCTACTGTTATTCTCACCGCTGCTTCTTTCAATGAATCCATGTGGAAAACCATTGGCGAGGTGAATCTATTCAATGATTGTGATTGATAAGTTAATAACTTAAGATATTATTTTAAATNGATTATTAATACTGGTCAAACGCAATACTCTACTTTAGGTGGACTACAAGAGGTGGTTGAGCTCATATCCGAAGAGACCAACGGGTCATGATGTCTTGTTAGTCTAAATTATCAAAGTGCCAATGGATTGGAAATGGATCAAGGCCTTTTCTGTTCCCATCCAACCATAAACTCCGACCATTTATTCGTGGAATTTGGCAAAAATCACCCAAATACGAACTTCTAGGTGTTTGGGCATCGGATTCATTAGTTAATCCGATCCGAATTTATAGCAAATATATTCTATAATTTTATCATTAAGTATATTTTTTAGCGAGGAATAAACATATTTGGATCAAATTCGTATGCAAGGATAAACAATTCCCTATAATATGTAACAAAAAAATTTCATCCAAATCTTTTTGTGTTCTTTTAGGAAATTTTTAAACAGCATTTGTTTTTATATTTTTCCATTTGAATTTTTTCTTGGACTTACTCACTTTTTCTAATTATATATATAATCACATATAAAAAAATATCAAAGGTACGTATATGAAAGATATAATTCATGTACTAAGATACATCTAGATATTGTTCTTATCTGTATCACTTATGCAAAATAGTAATTACCATATTTTTACTTTTTTATAAAATTATCTATTTTTTTAAAGGTGTTACCCAACAACAAGCGACCTCTTTCCAAATTTTACTTGCATGTTAATTTAGTCACCTCTTTTTCATATTCCATAATTTTGTTTTTAACTCGGCAAAATCCTAGTTGACATATGTTTATAATATTATTCGATAAAGAGTCCTCTCATTTTCTTATTTATTCGTACTTTTCTAATTCATTTATTTTAAGATGGATTTTGAACACCATGTATAGGTCCAAGTCAAAAATGTGCTAGAACCAAATCAAGCATTGTTTCACACACACACACACACACACACATATATATAAATCTTGCGTTGTTAGCGCATTTAAAAATGGCTTGAATATGATATTTTGGGAAATTCATTTTGAAAATTATTTATTTTAATTTTGTTGGGTTCCTCGTTGATTAAAGTTATCTGATGAGAGAATTTTTAGGTAGACAGGTTTGGATATAGATTAAAAGGTAATAAAGCTTCTAGCCTCGGTGGGACACAAACTCGAGTATGTCTATCTACATTTTTATCACAAACATGTCATTCAATCTTGCTAGGACTATAATTCAATCTGCCTGATCCTAAATTTTTGTAGTAAATTATGAACATAATTGTATTAATATGACCAAAACAATGATAACATGAAGTTCAAGCAACTCAAGAAAATATTAAAATCATATTGGATCCATATTCCATCCACTACAATTTTTTTCACAATACTAGATCGCTTAAGATGAGGCTATGATACCGATATCCGTCATACCAAAAGAAATATCGATACCATACCCGAAAAAATTTATGGCCACAGATTTTTTGCTGATTTATTTACATTTATTGCTTAAAATTACTAAAATCATGTCAAATAATAAAAAAAAAAAATTCTACATGCGTCTCTTTCTCATTAAATGTTAAAAAAGAGAGATAGTATTGCAAAATTACTTTTCAATATGATAATACGACCGGATCAATTGATTATTGTTTATTACTGGAAGATTCATTTATATATAATATGTCTTATTTAAATTTATAATTTTAATTTGTTCGGTGAATAAAATTAGAAAATAGTGTACAAGAAATCTAAGATTTTGAGAGAGATTTACTATATCCACCTTGGATAATGTAAAGAGAGATTTTTTCCAAAGAATCAGTAGCTCAACAGAATTCGAGTTAGATAACAACAGAAAGATTGGATATGAACCATTTAGAGAAAAATATGATAAATTCCACTATATAAACACATACAGTCCCTTCTATTCAACCACATAAAAAATTCTCCATAATATCATAGAAGCCATGGCCAAGCTCAGTTTTCTTCTCTTTTTCACTCTTTCTCTCTTAGTCCTCTCTGCTTCTGCCAGAAATGTCGCCTCAAAAAAGCTCACAAGCTCTACCTTAGGTCTCGACAATGGCGTCTTCAAGCCCACAAGGAACTACACCCATGTCTGTGATGCTTCAAGGTTTGCAGACCTTGGGCTGGACATGAAGGACTTTGCCTTCTGCGACTCTTCTCTCTCATATGAGATTAGGGTTAAGGACTTGATTGACAGGATGACATTGGCGGAGAAGGTGCAGCAGATTGGGGACACCGCTCTCGGGGTGGCGAGGATTGGACTGCCCAAGTACGAGTGGTGGTCGGAGGCTTTGCACGGCGTGTCGAACGTTGGCCAGCAGGGGAGCGTAGCTAGCTTCTTTGATGATGTTGTTCCTGGAGCAACCAGCTTTCCTACTGTTATTCTCACCACTGCTTCTTTCAATGAATCCATGTGGAAAACCATTGGCGAGGTGAATCTATTCAATGATTGTGATTGATAAGTTAACAAATTAAGATATTATTTTAAATTCAAATAGTATTTTCTTTCTCTCCCACGACTCTATAATAGACCTGCACAAACACACATACATGGATATATGCATGCAGATGTAATGAATAATATTATCTACTACCTTTTGCTGATTTGAAAAGTACTCCAAAGCAATTTACTGACCAAGTTCTATTACAATTTCAGGCTGTTTCAACAGAAGCAAGGGCCATGCACAATCTAGGGCATGCTGGATTAACATATTGGAGCCCTAATATCAATGTTGTAAGAGACCCTAGATGGGGAAGAGCCCTAGAGACACCAGGTGAAGATCCATATGTTGTTGGGAGGTATGCTGTCAACTATGTTAGGGGCTTGCAAGATGTTGAAGGGACTGAGAACACAACAGACTTGAACTATAGACCTCTCAAGGTTGCTGCATGCTGTAAGCATTATGCAGCCTATGATGTTGATAATTGGCTCGGAGTCGATCGCTACCACTTTGATTCTCGGGTACGTTACATCAATCCCTACAGAAATGTTGATCCAAAGGTCCAACTATAGTTTTTAAATTTTTAAATAACGGTAACAGTCATTGTAAATGTAACAATGTTTAATCGTTATCATGTTGATTCATGGGTATAATACGTTGATCACTAAAGAAACTTTGATTCAGTGTTGATGATAGAGTTTTTACCATAATATGACTGGTTGCCAGAATTATTATTTTTACTTTTTGGTGTTGTAAAGGTGACTGAGCAAGATATGGTGGAAACTTTCCTAAGACCTTTTGAAATGTGTGTGAAAGACGGAGATGTCACTAGTGTGATGTGCTCTTATAACCGTGTCAATGGCATCCCCGCTTGTGCTGATCCAAAGCTTCTAAAAGATACAATCAGAGGAGAATGGGATCTTCATGGGTACTGAATATAATTACACTAACTTGATTGCCAAAAGTGCAAAACATACTNTAAAGGTGACTGAGCAAGATATGGTGGAAACTTTCCTAAGACCTTTTGAAATGTGTGTGAAAGACGGAGATGTCACTAGTGTGATGTGCTCTTATAACCGTGTCAATGGCATCCCCGCTTGTGCTGATCCAAAGCTTCTAAAAGATACAATCAGAGGAGAATGGGATCTTCATGGGTACTGAATATAATTACACTAACTTGATTGCCAAAATTGCAAAACATACTTATGTTGATACTTTGAAACTCGAACCAATAACCACTGATTTGTGTTTTTTTTTTGTTTTTGCAGGTACATAGTCTCAGACTGTGATTCTATTGAGGTCATGCTTGATAATCAGAAATGGCTTAATGATGAACCAGAAGATGCTGTTTCACAAGCCTTAAAAGCAGGCTAGTCCATTTCTTTTCTAAAAATTTTCAGCTTTTTGTTTCATTTTTATGCCAAATGTTCGATGCAAGTAGACAAAGACAACTAGATTTCCCTTATAACCCGAGGGATTGCTCACAACACTACATACACCTGTGGAGGCATCTCCTAGTTGCGTGGTTGGCTGGTTCTTCATTTTGTTGGGATTTTATTGATGTTTAATGTCAATTGTTTGATATAATTTGTCTTTGTTGCCTCAGGCTTGGATTTGGACTGTGGATTTTTTTACTCAAATTACACACAGAGTGCAGTGGTGCGAGGGAAAGTTAGGGAGGCAGAAATAGACAAGGCACTTAAAAACCTCTATTTTGTACTCATGAGGCTTGGTTTTTTCGATGGCAGCCCTAAATTTAGTTCTCTTGGAAGCGAAAATGTGTGTTCTCTTGAACACATTCGGTTAGCAACCGAGGCTGCAAGAGAAGGCATTGTTCTCTTGAAGAATGATGATGAAACTTTGCCTCTGAACCATCACAAGTTTAAGACAGTAGCAGTGGTTGGACCTCATGCCAATGCCACCACCGTGATGATTGGAAATTATGCAGGTAAATAATAGTTGCAACTCAACCAGGTTAAGTTATGATATACAAAAATTTTGATTTTAACTTGTTATGATTGATTTCAAGTAACTCCATTCTGTCATAACTTCACTAGATTGAGTCGTTCAGACCCTAGTAACTTTAGTAGTAACTAAATAGACTAACTGGTTGCAATTTGTTCCAGGTGTTCCATGCCAATACACAACCCCCATTGATGGATTCTCTGCATATGGGAGGGTGATACATGAAATGGGTTGTTCTGATGTTGCATGCAAGAATGATACTCTAATTTTCCCAGCCATGAAAGCTGCAAAGAAAGCAGATGCTACCATACTTGTAGTGGGCATTGATTTGACTGTTGAGGCTGAGAGCTTAGACAGAGTGGACCTTCTTCTACCTGGTTACCAAACACAACTCATCAGCCAAGTTGCTGCAGCTTCCAAAGGTCCTGTGGTCCTTGTGGTCATGTCTGCTGGTGGGGTTGATATTTCTTTTGCTAAGAATGATCCAAACATCAAAGCTATCCTCTGGGCTGGGTACCCTGGTGAAGAAGGTGGCAGAGCTATTGCAGATGTTGTTTTTGGGAGTTATAACCCAGGTAAGCAATTTGATTTTTATCACCTAACCAATGCATTCATAACATTCAAATGACCCAGAAATATGACACAAAATGGGTTTAGTATAGCAGGTTCGTTCGAGTATTGCACGAATAGATATGTCATACCTAACAATAACTTAATCGACACAAATCTAATTAAACACAACACAAATTCGGCTAAACATGACTCAAAACTGAGGTTCTAGTATGAATTGACTAATTTTTAACACGACACCACTTACATGGTTTGAAAATAGGCTACCCTACTTTTGTTTTTTATTTTGTTCATGATGGTCTGCAATTGCTATGAGTTTATACGCAACAAAAACCTAACTATATCGTTTGAGTATGTGTTGAGTAATTTTTAACACGAAACTACTTAGAATATTAAAAAAACACAATGAGAGACAACTTATCAATATCCTAGTAGTAGTAGGTTTTTGTGTTGTTTACACTGATCTGATCTGTCATTGACGTGGGCTTACTATATTGCAGGTGGAAGATTGCCTCTAACCTGGTATGAAAGCAATTATGTAGATATGCTTCCAATGACCTCCTTACCCCTGAGGCCAATTGACAGCTTATCCTACCCTGGTAGAACATACAAATTCTTCAATGGCTCCACAGTTTATCCATTCGGGTATGGTCTCAGCTACACAAATTTCACCTACAAGCTCACAAGCGCACAGAGATCACTCCACATAGAGCTCAACAAGTTCCAACACTGCCGGGACATCACCTACACCGAAGACGCTTTCCGGCCACCATGCCCGGCAGTTCTCATCGACGACCTGAGCTGCGACGATCATTTTGAGTTCGAGGTCGAAGTTCAGAACATCGGAAAAAGAGATGGCAGTGAGGTTGTCATGGTGTACTGGACTCCTCCCGCCGGGATCATCGGAGCTCCATTGAAGCAGTTGATTGGTTTCCAAAAAGTGTTTGTCCCAGCTGGAGGGAGCGAAAAGGTTAAGTTCGACTTGAATGCTTGCAAGAGCTTGGGAATTGTTGACTACACGGCTTACCGTCTATTGCCGGCCGGTGGACACTCCATTGTGATCGGAGATGATGTTGTCTCATTTCCAGTTCAAGTTAGCTTTCATGGTTCAGTTTAGGGTTTTAGGTTTTAGTTTGAGTAACTAGTCTGAATGTAGTTAGGGTTAGAGAAATCTTATTTTCAGCAATTTATAGGTTTTTTTCTCCTCTGAAAGAGGGTTATTAATGGGTTTTACTCTTNTTTTAGGTTTTAGTTTGAGTAACTAGTCTGAATGTAGTTAGGGTTAGAGAAATCTTGTTTTCAGCAATTTATAGGTTTTTTTCTCCTCTGAAAGAGGGTTATTAATGGGTTTTACTCCTCTTTGATTACACAAAAATTGAATTAAAGAAACACAGTTTTTAGTAAGCTTTTCTTTTTGCTTATTTAATAAGTTCAATATTATATTAAATAACAATGTTTACTTGAAGCAAAAATTTATTGACCACATTTATTACCATTCAAAGTAACAATGTTTCGATAACTCAAATCAACTTAATAAAATTCTATTTCATCATGTTAGGTATCTAATATGAGTCTGAATAATATTTCAATAATAGACAATTTAATCTATTCTTACTATCAATTTCTCCCTCTATACAAATAATTAACTGCAAAACTTGAGTCTCGAGCCAAGTCCGTCGAGTTCATTTGTCTAAATAAGTTTAAAAATTATTTAAGTTCAACTTATTAAAAAAATGAGACAAGTCTGAACCAAGCTTAAACGAGCGGAATTTGAGTAAAATTTGAGTAACTTGACTCGANATCAACTTAATAAAATTCTATTTCATCATGTTAGGTATCTAATATGAGTCTGAATAATATTTCAATAATAGACAATTTAATCTATTCTTACTATCAATTTCTCCCTCTATACAAATAATTAACTGCAAAACTTGAGTCTCGAGCCAAGTCCGTCGAGTTCATTTGTCTAAATAAGTTTAAAAATTATTTAAGTTCAACTCATTAAAAAAATGAGACAAGTCTGAACCAAGCTTAAACGAGCCGAATTTGAGTAAAATTTGAGTAACTTGACTCGATTATTAGTCCTGTAGGTATGACTTCTACATGATGAGAGGTGCAATTTTAATGAATCAAACTAAATCTAACCAGAATAACTTTAGGACTAAAAGGTTTAATCCTAAGGTTGAATCTAAAAAATAATGAAATGACTTATTAGTAAATTTGACAAAACCCGAATTGAATCAAAACCTCAATTTGAATTAAAATTTGAGTTTTTAATTCAAAATTAACATTTGAATCGAACTCACTATCAAAATGAAAACTAAAAACAAATTTCGATCAAGAGTTATGCAACTTGGGTACAAAAATTTAAACATAAATAAGTTCAAATGTTAGGACTCAAGAGTACATTTGGGGCTTGTTTGTTTTGAGGATATGTATATATGGTATTGAGAAATGTATTCATTATATTTTCAATACCAATGGAAATTAGTATCGAGTTATGTTACATGGACTTAAAAATTAGATTTGATAATCTANGGGTACAAAAATTTAAACATAAATAAGTTCAAATGTTAGGACTCAAGAGTACATTTGGGGCTTGTTTGTTTTGAGGATATGTATATATGGTATTGAGAAATGTATTCATTACATTTTCAATACCAATGGAAATTAGTATCGAGTTATGTTACATGAACTTAAAAATTAGACTTGATAATCTCAACCATTAAATAAGTAGTAGGTCTCAATAACTGCTGGAACCCATATTGAAATCAATGGTTGAGATTATCAAATCTAGTTTTTAAGTCTAATTTTTAAATTTATGTAACATTGCTCATTAGTATCAACAATAGAAAGTATTCTAATCTCCTTCCATGTTTGTTAGTTCAATCGGTATTATGGTGGATCTCATAAACAACCATTTATTAAATCACATCAATTCCATTATTTCATTTGTGTAACGCTTTTGTATAATGTTTGGTATAATACATAGTATAGCAATCCGTACGCTTAAACATACAAGAAAAAAAATTAAATTTTTTTTTTTAAAATTANTAATCTCCTTCCATGTTTGTTAGTTCAATCGGTATTATGGTGGATCTCATAAACAACCATTTATTAAATCACATCAATTCCATTATTTCATTTGTGTAACACTTTTGTATAATGTTTGGTATAATACATAGTATGGCAATCCGTACGCTTAAACATACAAGAAAAAAATTTTAAATTTTTTTTTTAAAAATAANTCATTTGTGTAACGCTTTTGTATAATGTTTGGTATAATACATAGTATAGCAATCCGTACGCTTAAACATACAAGAAAAAAAATTAAATTTTTTTTTTTAAAATTAAAAAAAAAACACTGACAATATAAGGAAAAAATTTAAAATAATTTTTTAAAAAAAATTAAAAAAAAAACCGGTGAACATAATAGAAAGAAAAAATTCAAAATAATTTTTTAAAAATTAAAAAAAAAATCGATGACATTATACACTTAAACATAATACAAGAAAAAAAAATTAAAATAATTTTTTTTTAAANAAAAACACTGACAATATAAGGAAAAAATTTAAAATAATTTTTTAAAAAAAATTAAAAAAAAAACCGGTGAACATAATAGAAAGAAAAAATTCAAAATAATTTTTTAAAAATTAAAAAAAAAAATCGATGACATTATACACTTAAACATAATACAAGAAAAAAAATTAAAATAAATTTTTTTTTTANAACATAATAGAAAGAAAAAATTCAAAATAATTTTTTAAAAATTAAAAAAAAAATCGATGACATTATACACTTAAACATAATACAAGAAAAAAAAATTAAAATAATTTTTTTTTAAAAAAGTGACACTATACACTTAAATATAATGTGAGAAAAAAAATTTAAAATTAGAATTTTTTTAAAAAAATAATAAAATTAAAAAATAAAAAATCGTTGGTGGCCAAATCTCATACTAACATTAAAAGGCCGAAAGATAATTCAATCATTAACCTCCTTAATACTGTTAGGGCATGTTTGTTTCAGGAATTAGACGGTATTAGATGGTAAGATAGAAGAAAATAGTAAGTGGGGGGCCACCTTATATTTTGTTTATTTAGCGTTTTACACCCAGTATTATTTTTCAAGTTGTAATACAACCCCGTTGTGAACAGTGTCATAAATGTCTTGTACATGATATTAATGAATACCACATACTCGGTGGTATTATCTTCCTAGTACAAATGAAAGGACAGTATAAGAAATTAAAGTGACACAAATGTCTTTATGTATAGTATCCCCATATAAAAGTCAACTTTCTACCAACAAACCCTAGTCACTCACTCAACGCTGAAACCATCAGTCGCCTCCCTCAATGATGTTCAGACCCTAACCAACGTGTGAGTGATGATGAAACCCTAGTCACTCGCCCCTACCCACTCGATTCACTCAATGCTGAAACCATCAATCGTTTCTCTCAACGGTGCTCAGACCTTAACCAATGTGAACAATGGTAAAACCCTAGCCACTCGCCCCCATCCACTCAATTCACTCAACACTGAAACCATCAGTCGTCTCCCTCAATGATGCTCAGACCCTAACCACTGTGAACAATGGTGAAACCCTGGCCACTCTGAACGTTGAATGTTGGTATATCCATTCTGAACGCTAGTATATCTCTAGCCACTTTCAACGCTGCTAAACCCCTTTTTTTTGCAAACCACACACAAGTACGTTCTTATGAATGGGTAAAATTTGTTGTCCACGTCAAGGTTGCGATCTGTGGTATTTTAGTCTTCTAATTTCTCAATCGCTGGTGAAATACACCCCCACAATGTCCGAACTTTTCAAATGNTAGCCACTTTCAACGCTGCTAAACCCCTTTTTTTTGCAAACCACACACAAGTACGTGCTTATGAATGGGTAAAATTTGTTGTCCACGTCAAGGTTGCGATCTGTGGTATTTTAGTCTTCTAATTTCTCAATCGCTGGTGAAATACACCCCCACAATGTCCGAACTTTTCAAATGAGATTCTATTTTTTGTTTTTTTAACCATTTCTTTTTAGAAAGTGAAATATAGCTTCAAAATATTTTTTTTCCCTGTTTTAGTCGCTGGACCTATTCGATTTTTGGGTAGTTTGTTTGTTTTCTTATTTGTTGCTGATTGTTGCCCCTATCTAGTTAAACCCCTTATAATGCCCAGAGTGTTTGTATGATTTTATTTTCAGTCCAATGATTATGATTTTTTTTATATATTTTAACAAAAAATATGTATTTATGACACTCTTAAAACTGGGGGTCTTTTTTCAACCGTTGGCCATTTGTCAACCTGTGGAAGTACTTGTGATTGTCGCACAACCTGACATCACGTCAATAACATCCTCTTAATCGGGATCATCACCTCAAGTGTAACCCATATACATTTTATCATTTAATCAAATCGTGGTCCAATGTACCACATTTCATATTTCATTATAGTCCATTTACATCATTAGGAGGGAAGGACACATGACCCAGGCGCATGACAAAACAGTTTTAAAATTTCAGATTTTTGGAAGGCCTACCGATAGCGTGAGCATACTAGAAAATTCCTACTGGTAGGGCATACCGATAGGGTGAGTTTACTGAAAAATTCCTACCGATAGGGTATACCAGTACGGTTTGCCTACTAGACAATTTCTACCGGTAGGGTTCCTATGGGACAAAGTTGTACCAGTAGGCTATACCGTTAAGCTTTGTCCAATTTTGTCTGTTTCACCTGTTTTTGAATCTCAACTCATTTCAATCCATTTCGCCACCATCCAAAACATGGTTAATGAGATTTTTCATATAAAACAGGGTCCATACCAATTTTATTACATTTATTTACATGAATTTACATGTCAAACGAAATTTTCATAATAATTTACAAAAACTCAAAATAAAGCCATATTTCGTCTTTCTTCATCTTTGGGGCCCCTAGTGAGAGTCTTCTGCCAACGTACCATCGCACTTGAAATATTTTTCCATATATGGTGAGCCACGCCTAATAAAGCATTTTTTACAGAGGCTACTCTCCAACCTAAGTGTATATGCAATGCTCACATGCAACATTTAGCAAGCAATAGTCATTTCAACCAAGATTTAAGCAAGTC